ATTATGTAAAGGTATAATTCCCAATGAGAAATGTAATTGTGTTGTATCCCTAAAATGTACCAATAAAAGAATTTAATAAAACAAGAATGATCCAAATCCAAGTCTAGTACAAGGAATGAAATTATAAATATCCAAACAGAAATTAATGAAATAAAGACTAAAAAAATGAATGAATGAATGAATCAAAGAATGAATGAATCAAAGAGGTGTCTCATTGAAATAATAAACAAAATAGAAAAACCCTTAGCCAATCTTACCAAAAAAAGAAAAGATCCTGATCAATGAAATGAAAAAGGCAAAAGTCACAATAGGCACCACTGAAATCCAGAAGATCATTAGTAACTACTTCAAAAATCTGTACTCCAATAAATTGGAGAATCCAGAAGAAATGGATAGATTCCTGGAAATATAGTATATGAATTACCAAAACTGAACCAAGAAGATATAAAAACCCTGAATAATCCAATACCAGGCAATGAAACTGAAGCAGAAGTAAAAAAAACTACCAACTAAGAAAAGCCAATGACCTGATGGATTTACCTCTGAATTCTAATGTCAATCCTCCCAAACTCTTTAATGAACTTGAAAGGGAAGGAGGATGCCCAAAATCATACTTGTAAATTAGCATAATATAATTCCAAAATCAGACAACGACCCAACTTAAAAAGAAAATTTCAGGCCAATCTCTTTAATGAACATAGACACAAAAACCCTCAACAAGATACTGTCAAACAATGCAACAAACCATCAAAATAATCATATATCATAGCTTCATCCAAGGAATTCAAGGATGGTTCACCATAAGCAAATCAGTAAATGTAACAGACCAAATTAAAAAGCTTCTGCACAGCAAAAGAAACAACCAACAGAGTGAAGAAACAATACAGAATGGGGGAAATTTTTGGCAGCTACTCCTCAGACAGAGTACTAAAATCTAGAATATATAAAGAACTAAAAATATTAGCCCCCCCAAAAAAATAAAGTTCCCAATCAAAACATGGGCACTAAAATGAATAAACCCTTCTCAGAAGAAGTACAAATAGCCAATAATTACATGAAAAACTGTTCAGTATCTCTGGCCATTAGAGAAATATGAATTAAAACAACACTGAGATTCCATCTTATTTCAGAAAGAATGGCTATCAAGAAATCAAACAAATATTGGCGAGGCTGAGGGGAAAAATGAACCCATCTACATTGTTGGTGGGAATGGAAACTAGTATGATTACTGTAAAAATAAAGAAGTAAAAATAGAAATTCTATTCAACATAACTATTCCCTTCTAGGTATCTTCCTGAAAGACTTAAAGACCCTACATTAGAGTGATATGTGCATTCTCATGTTTATATCAGTACAACTCATAATAGCTAAATCTTGGACGTGGTCTATATGTCCACCAACACAAGAGTAGATGAGAAATTGTGGTTTTTATACACAATAGAGTACTATGCTACCATAAAGAAGGATAATTTTGAGCAATTTGTAGGAAAGTGGATGTACCTTGAGACCATAATGTTAAGTGAAACAAGTCACACACACAAGCTTAAACATCACATGGTTTCTCTTATATGAGAAACCCAAAATATAAATAAAGAGCAAAACACAAGATAGCTAATAGAAAACAGGCAGATAGAACTTTTGCAAAAGGGAAGTGGACCAAGACATAGAGGGAGAAAAGTGGGAGGGGAGAGGAAGGGGATGAAAAAAGAATTAAGATGTGTCATGTACACGTACTAATTCCACACAATGCAATCATAAGGTATACATCTACCAAAAAACACTTCCCTGACCTGAAGGAACTAAGAGTCCAATGAGTAAAACAGAAATACATGTAAGTAATTCTAGCATATTATGTATCATAACAGAGGTACTCAACATTTGAATCCCTGCTATATAGTGATGAGCAAGCAAGAGTTATGTACAAAGTTCTACAAGAGCACAAAAGGAATTCTGCTTGCAAAGATTCATTCCTAAGGAAATTCACAAGGGTTTTTCCCAGCGTGACAACAGGGAGCAACCTAGTTGCTCTATTACTAGGCATATGCATCTGTACAATCTATGTAAAACTCAGCAGCAGTTAGAGACAACAAAGGGTGCACACGGCAATGTGGATAGAGTTCAAAATAGTGTTGAGTGGAGTGGGAAACGGATGTATGGTCCAATAGCTTCTCTTTAAATGTAAAAGAATCAAGACATTATCTTTCTTAAGTTATCAAAGATCTATATCACACATATTTCAGATTGGGTCTAGAAGAATGAGAGTGGCAGTTCAGAATGATGAGGAAAAATAATAAAATTAAAAATAATATAAACTAGAGAGGGACCATGTAGGGACTAATGATGACAATTCGCAGAGAACTGAGAACAAAGTTAACTCTTTGCACCTGAGGTCAGATACCAACTTAGAATGCAGCTGATAATCTTCAAGGAAAGGTTATTTATGGAGCCCTGAAAGCATGTGCAGGAACATGAAGGCCTGAATGCACATCTTGGGCTCAGTGAATGGCAACACTTGTGATGAGCTGACATATTTGAAAGCCCTGAGCCAGTTGTACAACATTCTACACATAGAAGGCATACGAACTTTCTAATCAGTATGTTCTCCTTTATGAAATCAGGGTACAGATAACACTCCGCTCCCATCTATCCTATAGTCTTCACAGATCATGATTACTCCAAGGCCCCTGGTCCAGTGGGTCATTTCTGTTTCCTATGGCCTCAAGGACAGTGCCCCTTGACCCACTGCTTTAAAGCTAGACTTCCACCAGCAGTAACATCTTTGCTCTGGCTGGGAGTGGAGGGAGGGAGCTGAAGGCCAAAGGTGCCTCTCACTCTAGGACACCTGCCTGATCCCATTCACTGTCTCCACCAACCCAGTACTGTCAGTTAACTCTTACTTGTCACGTTCCAGCTGCAATCAGTTCTCTTCTCTGAACCCCCCCCCCCACACACTGGGTCACGTCCCACTATCACAGGTGTACCTATCCCCGCCCTTATAACAATTGCAATGCTACATTTGCTCTTTTTTTTTTGTCCATCTGCTCCGCTAGATTCCAAGAACAATGCTGACAGTGCCTTTCTTGCTCACCAAAGTCTCACTGGTGCTTGGCATAGCTCTTGGCACATGGAGAGCACTCGATAAACGCCATAAGGTGCAAGCTTTTCAGACAATGGGAATATGGGTCAGGGTGGATACAAGCCCAGTGCAGTGGCAGGATGAAGAGAGTTGGGGTTGTTCTACCATACAGGGTAAAGCGGAGAGCTACAAGAGAGAGGCACAGTGACCCTGTAGCCAACCAGGCCAAGGGATTGTGACACACTACCCCCCCCACCGGCGGGCTGAGCTATAAAGAAATTGATAGGCACTTAACATTCTTTTTTCACAAAGTCAAGTCAAAGTATGAAACTGAATTGAAGAGAGGGATTGTATGTGGGCCAGTGATGGGGTCAGAGGAAGGACTAGCATTGCCAGACGTCCTGATGCAATGCACAAGACAGCTCTGAATCTCTTAGTGGGGTAGGCATTGCTCTCTGCGCGCTACCTCTAAGGGGCCCACAAGTCTGGGTCATTGGGGTTCCAAGTGTTCCTCACCCCAAGTCTCCAATCTAATTCATCACCTTTCCCGAGCCCACCTCCCTCCACCTCCAGCTCAATCAGGCTCTAGGCTACTTTGTTAAAAACCAAACCCAAACCCCTAGCAATCCTAGTCAGGCCTCACTCAGATAACTGGATAATTAGATGCAGCTGACCGCTATAGGACGCCCTTTCCCACGCTCCCACTAGTGTCTCTACTGAGATGGGCGTGCGGGAGACCAGAAGCTGCAGGAGCTGCTACCTCCCTTCGCGCCTTCCCGCCCTCCGGCCAAGCCCGCGCATGCCCAGCCCGAGCGCCTTACGTCGAATCTGGTGCCCCGTCCGGTTCCCAGCAACACGCATGCGCGCGCTTCCCAGCCCAAGAGGAAGGAGAGGGCGGGGCCTAGGGGGCCGAGCCCGCGGGGGAGGGGCGGCGCGGGTCACGTGACGCGGTTTCAGTGTTTACACGAGGAGCAGGCCAAGCGTTCGGCCTCAGTCTGGCGCTCGGCTCCGTTTCGGTTTCACTTCCGGTGAGGGCCGCCTCGGAGCGGGCGGTGAGCAGGAGGCGAGCGCGGGCGGCGGCGGTGTCGGCGGCGCCGTTGACGGGGGGCGTGCAGCAGCGCGGCGGCGGCTGGGCCTTGAGAGCCCGCAGCCCACCTCTCAGGGGCGGGCTCCCGGCGCGGGCAGGGTGGACGAGAAGATGGAGGAGCTGGTGGTGGAAGTGCGGGGCTCCAATGGCGCTTTCTACAAGGTACTCGGCTCCAGGGAAGGCCCCGTCCTCGCGCTCCCTTCCCTCCTTTTCTTCTCAGGGTCGGCGGGGAGGCAGGCCCGGGCCCGGGGCGCGCTCGGCGGGCGGAATGTTGTGGGGAGCCGGAGCGGACTCGGGGCCTGTAAGGGAGCCCCTCGAGCCCCGCGCTCCACGGGCGGAGGCCCCGGCGCTGAGCGGGATGCAGAGGAGGGGCCCTGCTGGGGCCCAGCCCGCCCGGGGACAGCGCCAGGGGCTGGGGCCGGCAGCAGCTCCGCGATCCCCGCGGCGAGGGCTCAGCCTCCTCGCCTGGTGGGATCGGGCCTGACGTGCGGGCAGCGGTGAGGGTGCCTGCTATCCCGGGGAACCTGCACGGTCTCCTCTGGCTCCGGTTTTCCGCTCCAGCCTTGGGACTTCGGAGAGCTCCCGGGTCCTGGGCTCAAGGCGTGGAGAAAGAGTAGTAAGAAGCAGTAATCAGCAGTAAATCACAATGGCAACTGATTTGCAGTGGCCTCTCTTTGTGACTTGCAGAGGAGATTTTAGACCCAAAAGTTTCAGGAAGACACTAACGTTATTTGAACAATGCATTAAAGAAGTTGGCCAGGAGGGATATCCGTGGCCCCCCTCCTTTTTATAAACGGGGGCAGATGCAGAAATACGGGTCTTTCAGCTCCTAACAACAGAAGCAACTCTGCAACTCCAAAGAATTTGTATTTAAATCCTCAAAGACCAGAATGTATGCTACAGAACTTCTGGAGATTAGCTGGGAGTATATCTAACCAGGGAATTTTACTAGGGAGCGTTTGGAGATACTTTTTATACTCTACAAAGACTTGTCTACGTTCCCTTTGATTTCGTAGCGTTGAAGTGACTGTATTGTTGATTTAAGTAGGGGTTGACGGATTTACCGTGCTGCTTTTTTTTAAGGTATACCATTGAATACCAACTACTAGCTTGCTTTTTTAAAAGAAAGATTTTAAAATATTTAGATTTAGCAGTGATACGTTTGTTTTTGCCTATATACTGTAGGTCTAGCAATCTAAATTTTCATTTCCTCTCAAATGTCTGTAACTTCTGTAATATCCCACCACCTTACTACAATATTTTGACAACGGAAGGTGCATGTGAAAGGAAGCATGGGAAATAGCTATTACCATTGTCCCACACATTTTAAATCGATAGTAGAATAACTTGAATATTTCAAACGGGACACCTTTAGCTATAGGAAAACAAGTGATTTTATATTTTGTGTTCCCCAGTTTTATGGAGATATTTGGAGATCAATATATTTCATAAATGAGTAAAATATATAAACTTTGATACATTCAGCGAAACGATAAAACCTTTTGTTGTGAAAAGGAGACAGAAAATAACCTAGCATTTATGTTCTTAGTCTTACCAATGTAAAATTGCTTCAGTTGACTCTGCATTCAAAGTTTTACTTGTAATCTGTGTAAATTTGTGTAGGACCAGATGGGCTCTAGATTGGTAATTTTGGTCACTAGACTTGTGGTCGTAAATATGATATAGTTGAGCAGGGGTTGGTAGTTCAGTATTCTAATTGATTTCTGATACCTGGTTAGGCTGAACACCACTCTTACTGTCTTTTAGTGAAGTTGGCTTGCCATAGAGGGCAAGGAGCACATCCTGGTCTTCAAGGATTTACTGCTTGTAAACTGACAGGAAAATAAGAAATGACCTCTCTTTTTCTATTACGCACCCCCCACCCCCCCCCACACAGATACACACAGACACGTTTTGGATTTTTTTAAAAGCAAATTTCTTAATTTGAAGATGAATCAAAAGGAATAGGCTGTCTTTTGGTTCTGTGAAGGGAAATGTAATACTTGAATGAATGTATGTGCGAAAATTTCTGTTATGTTTAATTAAGGTTGATTTTTGAGAAAACCTCAAGTGATCTGTATTGATGGAAGAATAATTTCTATAATGAAAAGGGTTTGAATTTTTATGGCTTAGAATATTGCTGTGAGTTGTAAAAGTAAAGCACAAGTAAACTGAGTTGCCTGTCTAGTGGGATGGATGGGAAAGATGGGAAATAAAGATGAATTTTCAAAACCAATAAAAAATGAACTATTATGGGGAAGTGTCATATTCGTGGGGAAAATGGGCACCTTGTTCATCAAATAGAAAAGCTTTCAAAAACTGGTCAAACAACCAGGGCGTGGTGGCACAGGCCTGTAAACTCAGCTCTCAGGAGGCTGAGGCAGGAGGATCACTGTGAGTTGGAGGCCAGCCTGGAATACAGGAAATAAACAAAAACTCAAATAACTTCATTATAATTAAAGTAAGACTTTGATTTCCTTAGCAGAACACCATATTCCAAAGGACAGTTGTCCATCTCTTGAGCTTATTGTCCAAATACAAGGTTGCAGTATAGACTAAATAAGATATATCCTAGCAGTGTTCTGAGTCTTTAAAAAAATAAGTAAAACTCAAGATTCAGAATGAACAAAACCATGTATCCTAAACCTTAAAATTGAAACAGCTCTCTTTTTTCTTTCCCCTTTGGCCTTAATTCTTAAAAATGTTAAAGTTGGATTTAGTAATGACCAGAGCCATTACTTTTATGCTTAGTGGGTATGTTTATTAAGATATGAGGGCACTTTGAATTATACTTTATAGGATCTTTACCAAGTTAATAATGTCAAAATGAGGTCTTTATTCTGGGGGCATCTGCTCCAAATTTAGTTGAGAACCGTAATGAATTAACCCCATTATAGATGTAGAATGCATGTCCTTCCAATATAAAGGCACTACTATGTCTCCTAAGACTCCTGGGTTTTGTATATCAGTATGAAAATTAGTAAAGATGGCTAAATTTTATCTTGACATGAGATAAGTCTTTTTCTTTTCTCAAAATAGAATGGCTGATATCTAATTCATTATTGTGATGTGATGTACTCATGGTAACTTGCAGTTTTATTGTAAGATTGTACTTTAATATATCTGTTTTTTAAAGTTCGGTGTCTGAAGACAGACTATTTGCTGTGTATTTTGTATTACCAATAGGCAATTAGATTATAAAATGTACAATCAGGAGGAAATGTATTAATGAAGATGTTAGTGGCCTAACATGTACATCACAGCTACATTGCCGGCTAGAAATCAATGTTTATTACAAATAAAGTTGGATAAGATGTATAAATTTATGTTCATAAACTTCCCTAAAATGTAAACTTGCATTTGTGTTTTCTCTCAGGTCTCTCCCACTAGCTTTGCATGCAGGTGTTATTCTGCACTTTGAAGAAGTGAATGATTTAAGTCAACCACATTTTTTCCTCCAGAATCTACATACTCTTTAATGTTGAGCATCTTTGTAGATTTGTCATTTTTCCCTTTTTGAACTGTGCCGTTTTCCAATTCCAGACCCAAGTGTTCGGTAATACCCAAATCATTAAGATTCCTGCCCACTATGGGAATGTGCTTCCTGAGATGTCTAGGGTCATGATTCCATAGTTGACAGGGATTGAGTGCTTTCAGAGCAACAGTCACTGTTCTAGGTGCTATCTCTCTGTTAGTTTATTTAATCCTCAACCACAATTCTGAAGTACTGCTATTATTCCCATTTTGTTAGGTAAAGATGTACCTGAACAGAGAAGTTAGATATAATTTACTAGTAAGTGTCAGAGCTCTTCAGAGTCAGATCTGGGATTTGGAATCTGGCATGTGACTTCATGAAATGATGAAATTTAGCTTGAAGAAATTAATTGAATTTGATTTCCTGCTTGGTTTTCTATTTCATTGTCATCTTTGATTGTGTGTCTTGCTATAACACTGCCTTAGCGTCCTATAACTACTATTGCACAGTTATATTACCTTATTTTACTGTTGATACGAAGATGACATAAAATACCCAGTTTATGTATCAGTTTCCTCTTTATTAACTCTTGCACCTGGACATATTACATAATGCTTCACATAAATGCCTTAATGGAAAGATGAAGTTAGAAAATTTTGATCCTGCTAGGGTGTTTGTTTCTGTTACTTACCCTAGGAGCTCCTAAAAATTGAAATATTTGAAAGTTCAAATATATGCATAACAAGGAAAATTAATTATTCATTTAGTACTGTTTCTCTGTTGTCTTTCAGGCAAGGTGAACCAAAATAATTCTACTTTTCTCAAAATTTGTGGTAACTGCCCATATAAAGTTCATTATTCTGGACATGTGCTATGGTCAGAAGGACTGTTGATGAGATTTGTTTTATTTTTCCCTGTTTTGCATTCTTTTACATTGTTCGTGCCCACACAATAACTATATATGAAGCATTGCTTTTGAATCTTACCACATTTCTTAAGTCCCTATTCTGTCTCTAGGAGGGATATCTTACAGTGCTGGGTTTTTTCTTCTAATAATTATAGTCCTGCATGTTCTGTCACTATCAGATTTTTACTGATAGAAACCTATTGATAATGTAGTAGTTGTGTTCAGTGATGTCTAGGGCTAAACTTTAAACTTCCATACACAATAATCTCTTTTGTGACTAGTTGTTCCTACTTGTAAGATAGTTTATTAAGTTAAGGGGAGTGAGGTGTAGTGGAGGAGTAAGAGTTTACCCAAATAGGAATGGACTTTCTGTCTTGATTTCATCAATCCTGGCAATTGGATAGCTCTCGTCATTATGTACTTCTGTAAGTATGATTTTGTGATTGCCTCTTTGGCCCAGTTGCCAGCAAATTGGGGATCCCATAGGGACTTAAGTTTCCAGTTTATTCACTGCCCTCCCCAACAGAGAACCTTTATCTGTTTTTAACTATATTTTATCACCTTTTTGAACCTCCGAAGATTTGCATCTCTTCTTTTTCTTCCCAGAATCCAGATAATTTTTAGTATTTAGTATCTTTGTGGAAATATCGTTTTATTTTTCTATCCCGATTTTTAATGGCTTTTTTAAAAAACTGAAACATTTACTTGCATTCCTATATCAGCAGTCATGGATTATGTCACAATTATGAGTGGTAAATCTTACATTGTCTCAAGAACACATTAGCATTATTGAGATGACTGGCATTCTGTGGAGAACTTCAGTCTTTAGTTATAACCTTAAGAACTCTTGGTTTTGTGGCCCCGTTAAAGCCTTTTTTTAAAAAGTGTGCTTTGCTGGGATGTAACTTTCCCAAATGTAAAAGCATTTGTGGTTCTGCATGTTACGTGAAATATGCTTTTCTCCAGCATATCATTTATTTAGTGTCAGTTATTTGTGTAAATTCATTATGTACAAGTTAGGAGGCTGGTCCACTTCCTTCTTGTAAATGAGGAGTCAGAGGTGCAGAGGTCGCTTCTTGGAGAGTTAAACAGCTATTATGTCTTAGGGCCAAGATTTCGAACCTAAGTTTGATTCACAGCAAAACTCAACCTCTAAGTTTACTCACCCCAGTAACAGGCCTTGCTCTCATCCAGTACAATGAAGCTCCCTTTGTGTATTCATTCAGTCTGCCTTTGGAAACCTCATAGGAGTCTTTCTCCTCAGTCTTTTTCCGAAAACACCAACTTTACTTGGTAAGAAGGGAAACACAGCAAAAACTGGTTTTCCAACTTAGTAGGTGGATGATAGTGTGGTGGCAAAGGAGAATAAGGATCTAGAGAGGTAAGAGAGGGGCTGGGGCAAAGGAAGCTTGTTGGAGAAAGTGTGACACGTGGGAAGATATGGAAACTTTGGAGCAATGGTTTAGTGAAAAGGCCTTCGCTCTCACAGGATATTTGTCCGTCCACCCTGTATGTGCAGACCAGAGGCAACTGATGAGTTTCTTTTATTCTCCCCCTTGAATCAGCATCCAGGAAGTATTACATGACTTCTGTATTTACTTAATATGCAAACAGTGACTAAAAATGACTGATTTTGAAATAATCATGCAGATATCTATATACAGGTAAGCCTCATTAACTCAAAGGCAGCAGCCCTGTTGGGCTATGATGATTATTCAAGCCATTTCTGACACTCTACATCCTGAACTGCATTCAGCATCTGCAAAAGCCTTTTTTGTTTTTAAATAGTCACGACACTTCCTCCTTTGAGGGAATGTTTGATTTTTAGGAAATAGGCAAATGTGGTGAATAAATATGATTAAACTGGCATTAACTGTTAGGCAAATGGGGAAAAATGAAAATACAGCCATGTGATTATAAGACTGAGGCTGACTTTTACAGTGTTTTTTTTATCATAGGACTGAAAAATCTCCAACATCTGTAAATGTTTTAAATCATTACTGTCCACTGCAATCGCCCCTGAGCCAAATGTGCCTTTTGAGTACTCAAAATGTTTCAAGAATGAATGAGAGACTGATTATAATTTTACTGTAAATAGTTACACATGACCTGTAGCTTCTATGGTAGGGATTTTAGACAAGGATGACAGTATTTGAAAGACACTTGATTTACTGAGAACAGTTCTTTACCCAGTTTTAACAAGGTTCTGCTGGCTGATTAAAAGACTTAATGTTATCAGCATGTAATGTACAGTAAAGAACAAACGTTAATTACTGCTAAGACATGCAAACACTGTTAACACTTATCAGGAATGAAAACAGAAGCAGTGGTCCTTCCTGCTGCCTGAGAGGTCAGGCGCGTAATAGGAGTCTTGCTCTGTAGCCCGTAGTCTCATATTATTCCCCAAAAGTAGGTTGTTAGTTTGACGTTAGCTATCATGTAAAGACAAGGGAGAAATGAGGATGAGAGGGAGTATCCTTCCCTTCGTAACTTTTGTGACATACTTTATAAAACTAGGAGTCTGAGTGACTTGTTCGGCAACTTTAACTCAGAATCCAAACAACATCTCTGAGTACTTGGGGGCATGCACACTTAGGAAACCTGGAATATTCCAAAGCAACAAGGCTGATACTAAACTCCAGTTCCCAAGATAGGTTGTAGAAAATATTGGTTGCTAATTTAAATACAGCTGAGTAAAAACAAAGATCAGAATGATAGGAAGAAAATGTGGTTTTCATTCCCTGTAAGCCAGTAATTAATAAGGATATATTCATACACGACATAAAACTTTAGCCACTTTGGGTCTATCAGAACATTTAAATGCCATTGCAGTCCACCTAAATTTTTCTTACAAAGAAATTTATTTTTAGCATTGCTTTATTTTTATTCATTCAAGCATTACTGTCGAAGTTTGGTGTCTTGTGTTTCAGTTGTTTCCGAATCAGTATTTCCGGAACCCTGCCTCAGCTTCCATAGTTTTTTCTAGGAGCAGTTAGTTAATGCTTTACTCATATGCTTTACTTTGGTATTTTGGGAAGTTTCAGTTTTTTAAAGAATACTTTCACATCAGGCTTTTGAAGGCATCTTTGTTTATTGACACATTTGCATTAAATCATGCTTGTTTAAAATACTTAGTAGGCACCCACTATACACGAGAAATTGTACCACTTACTGAGTATAGAGAAGTCAAAGAATGATCTTAAACAGATTTTTGTTCCAATATATCCAAAGTCATCAGGTTTTACTGTTTTCTCCTAAGAGTTTTATGATTCTAGCCCGATGCATCTTAGTTGATTCTTTGTGTATGATATGAGATGATTTCCATATGGCTAGCCAGTAGTTCCAGCATCATTTGCTTAAAACACTGTTCTTTCCTTTGTTGAATTTTCTTGGCTTCATTGTTGACAAAATTTATTTCTCTCACACCCTAGGCTGCTTTTCACTGTCTTAAGCCTTTGCTCTTGCTGCCCCCTAGGCCTGGTGGAATGCCTCTTGGCTAATTTTTCCTTATCCTTAAGGTTCCCTAGAAAGTTGCTGCTGGGCGTGGTGGCAGTGTGATGGAGGCTGAGGCAGGAAGATCATTGTGATCAGGAGTTCACAAGTTCAAGGCCAGCCTGGGCTACATAGTGAGTTCAAGGCCTGCATGAACTACATTGCAAGACCCTGTCTCGGACAAAACAAAACCCAAAAAATGATGCTTTTGGTGTGTCTTCCCTTATCACCTTTACCACTACCACCCCCACACCCACAGAAGTTTCCCCAGGGCTGAGGGAGATAGGAACCTCTGATGATTCACTTAATAACTATCCATTGAGTTCAGAGACCAGTAGGAAGTAGCTAGGTGAAGAGAGGAGAGACAGTGGGAAAGAGGGAACAGCATTTTAAAACAGACCTGTACTAGCTGACATAGGGCTTTGAAGCAAGTTTCTTAATGCCAGTAGAGAGCTAGCCTAAAGGTTACCTTCAGCTTGTGTATACTGTATTTGTTTCCCTTATGAGATGTGGACCAGCTTTTCCTTGTTTGCTGTTTTAACTACCTGCATTGCTAGAGCCCAGTACACAGTGGGTAATGGTGTAAGTGTTATTAATAAGTGAGCGGGCCTTAAAAACAGACTTTCACGCAAAGCTCCATTTTATTATTAAACATGTTTGGTGTCTCAGAAATTAAAAGTGGTCTTTAGATGTAAGAGTTAATTGTCATTATTTTCTTATAGGCATTTGTAAAGGATGTTCATGAAGATTCAATAACAGTTGCATTTGAAAACAAGTAAGTGTCATACTACATCATTTTAATGTTCAGGTTCCTTATAATTTTATGCTAATTCCTTTTTGCTGCTCTTTTCTTTTTAATTCAAGTCTAGTTTGAATATTTTTCATGTTAGTGACCCAAGAAGTATCAGAAAAACTCAGCATTAAGTCAATTGGAATAACTATACCCTGCTAATGATCTCATTGCCCCCTATTAATCTTGATCTTTACTTTAGTCCCCTTGACCGTGAAGAGCCCGGATTGCTTCTGTGTGTGTAACTGAGAGGTTAGATAAGAACACAGTATTCCTAATTTTCATAAAATATGAAAATGAAGGATTCATGGGTATTGGTAACAGAATTACATATATTTGTAATCTTAAGTCTCAAATTGGCGTTTTAGTTGTCTAGTATATCAGAAACAATTGTTTACTCATTAAATTTTTTTTTCATATATTTATAATCAGTAATAATAGCTGATCTTCTCTGCTTTCTTTTGGTATATCAAAATAAAAATACAGATCACGATATGTTAGCTGTGTGAAAGCATCGGTTATAGATGTTAACATTTTGGGGGGAGAGACAAGTTTTGTAAAGTAAGTTTTTTGAGTACTATTAAGGCCCATTTTCATAATAGCCATTCCTAATACTAAAGTATATATAAACTCAACTCTTCAGCCAGAATGTAGGTATGTATAGTCATGATCTTATATGATTTCTGCTGAACTCTGATGAATGGTAGGCAGTTACAACATTCTGACCTTTTTTGTACTGAGAGAATTAATAGTACATCAAAAGCAGGCTGCAAAACTATAGAGGAAGAAAGTAGATTAGTGGTTGCATAGTACATACTTGTTGAGAGATGCAGGTCATAGTCAAAGAATACAGGATTTCTTTTCAAAGGTGATGAGAATGTTGTAAAATTGACTACTAATGATAGTGCCTATCTGTGAACATACTGCAAAGCATTGTGTTGCATGTTTCAGTGGGTTAATTATGCGGTATATGGAGTGTATCGCAAATCTGCTAAAATGGAGTATGTGACACAGACATTCTGCACAATAAGAACAGCTTCTAGAAAATTAAGCGCAGTCCTGGATTTCAGTGTCTACAAAATTTTGTAATTAAATTCCAATCAAGTCCTTTCAGCTAGCAGCAGGAAAAAGCAGCATCCCTAGAAGCCTAAGACAAATATAGAGGGACAGACATAAAAGGATTGAAAATATACAGCCCTATTCCCGATTCTATCTAGATTGATAATATCAGTTTAAAATACAAGTTTGAATAATTGAAGATTTTTCTCTGAGTATATAAAGCCAAAAGATAATAGAATTTGGCTTTTTACTGTTTAAGTATCCATGATTATAAATAGGCAACAACAGTATGGCACCTCTATTGAAGGAATCTTTGATTATTTGAAGAGCCTTTTTTTCTTGTAATGACACTATTATCTGCTTACTTCCCTACATAAATACTGTTTCTCATAATAGGAGAGTTATCTTTATTTACCACTGTTAGTTTCTCCTGTAGTCTGTAGTCTCAAGTACTAGTCAAATACTCATTTCCTCTGTGCATGTAAGAATGTGTCTGATGTATACATTGATTTATCAGATCAGTTCTTTATGGTTTTCAGTCAAATTTCTGCCAACAACTTACTGCCTTAAACTTAAAAATAGCTCATTTGTTGACTTCCTAATTATTTATCTGCTGTACTGTATCTGCATAAAAGTTTCTCTTCCTGTGTCTGTCATCCTGGAAATTTGAAGTAGATAAGCTGTTTTTCCTTGTGTTCATGGAGTATGTTTGGGATAGGACACTGACTTTGAGCACATCACTAGGATTTGATAAGTCCTTCCAAAAGTAGTCTCTGCTCTTTTTTTGTGTTTCCCTTTTTGTTTTCTGTCAGAAAAGAACAAAAAAAAGAACAGTGTTTGATAGAACTTCGGGTGATAGTATTCTTTCTTTCTTTTGGGTCATGAAGAAATTCTTACTATAATACCAGATTGTTTTAGGTGCTTCCTTCCATATTTCACATTTTTGAGTAATGAATTTTTATGTCTATACATTTAGGAATTGAAATCAGTTTTCCTTTTTTGAAACCAAGAAAATTATATTTTGCATTGTCGTAAGCCTTATAAATCAGATTTACCAGTGCATTTGTAACATGTTAAGTCACCAGTTTTCAATAAATATAAAAAAGCTTTTTCTGAAGAACTCCTTTTAGAATTTTATAGTTATCAAATGTACAGTAAATCAGAAGGGATCAGTCAGTCCTAATCAGATTTCCACAAACTCTGACTTAATTACTTGCCCTCAACATTTTTTTTGGGGGGGGGGCGGTCCTGGGGATCGAACTCGGGACCTTGCGCTTGCGAGGCAGTCAGCGGAACCACTGAGCTAAATCCCCAGCCTCAACATTTTTAAAAAAAGAACTACAAAAGGCAAATTAGTCCTTTCCTCAGTTGGAAGAAAGTCCTTTCACATAACAGATGTACATCCAACCGGTATTTGCTGATGAAATGCCCCCAAAAGAACCCAAAACTGACTGCTATAGCAGTTGAACCCTCACATTTTTGCAAAGTTTTGTTCTTAATATTTTATATCTTTGTGGGCATAGAAAAACAATTTGGTGTCTTTCAAAGTTGTTCCATCTCATTTTAAATTTCAAAACATAGACAACTTAATTGAACCCCTGTAGGCTGTCTCCATCTGGTCTCCGTGGTTTAGGGGACCCTACCAACCCAGTGCATGCTGGTACCTCATACTGATCAGCAGCCCGCTACCCGTGGCAAGAATTGACCCGCCTCGTGGGATCTAAAATTTAAAGGGGGAAAAGTGAGTTGTAAGTTGCTCATATGCCGACTGCCCCATTTTGCTTGGGAATTAGAGAGCAGTTTCTGTGGTTGTTGGAATGTGGTAAAATTCCTTTGCAAGTAGAAGTACGTTGGTGATATTACTAACACTGATACTAACATTTAAGCATCTGCAGAAATTTCTGTTGTGGGCTTATGTTTAAAACTTTTAGAAGTTGAAATTACAAGGAAGAAACACATTTTTGAAAATCAGTCGTTGATTCCAAATGAAAGTACAAGGCTACTGTGCTGCATGCAGACTTTGTTGTAGCGCCTTTATATTGCACTTAGCAAAACTGGCCATTTTAAAGCATTTGCTACTTTAAACGAGACAGAAAGGGTCCCACTTAACCAAAAGCTGATGGCGGTGTGGCCACTGTTTCACTTAAATGCCAAAGCCGTGTTCAATAATTCGACATTTGCTTATTTGCAGCTGGCAGCCAGAGAGGCAGATTCCATTCCATGATGTGAGATTCCCACCACCTGTAGGTTACAGTAAAGATATAAATGAAAGTGATGAAGTTGAGGTGAGTTGCCCCTCTCCTAAAGTTAAGCATTAAAGAAGTGGAAGTATTTCATTTGCCTGGGTATTTTTTTACACTTTGCCTTTAACACTGTGTAGTGGTTTGAAATCGTGCATGATGCTTAAATTTGACTATCTGAGCAGCACTCAAAGGAATTATCTTTGAAAATCACTGCCCCACGTTCCTCTGCCCAGTAGTACTTCTTTCCCCCTTTACCCTCAATTTCTTTGAATAATATACTGCTCATTTATAACTGTGTCCTCTTTTTAAACAAGATGGATTAGGAAAATTAATTTTACGAAAGGAAGAGACTCATGCTACTTAATAGAGCAGTAACCTAGAATTTCTTTTAGTAGCAGTGAATCTTTCTGATATATAGATACAGATAAGAAAAAATCTTTAAACCTACCACTTCTCCGTTATACATATAGGTAAAACCTTTTTCACAGGTTGTACTGTGAAACATCTGCTCATATGCCTCTTGAGTTTTTTGACCAAAAGATTCTTTGGAGATTTAGTATATGATCAGAGTCATTATGTTTGTGTTTCTTTATTATAAATTGGTTTTGTATTCAAGACACTTACAGTCTGCTTTGTATTACAGTTTGTGCAGCATCCCTCTCTCCTTTCTACCCTTTGGCACACTCCATTTTGGACTGTTGCTTTTTTTCTCTCCACAATGCATATAATGCCTTGATAGTAGTTGCAACTTCATTTATATCTGTAGTATGAAGAAAGCACTAAGTAGACATTTTAGAGGTAAGTCAATATGGTACAGGGTCCTTGAATTCTTCAGCTCTAGGTACCAAATGTACAGCAAAATAGGACAGTCTCCTGCCCTTGGTAAGGTCACATTCTAGTGGGGATAGCTAATCTCATGGCATGTGAAAGTCACGAAGGAAAAACAAGCAAGATGGAAGGTAATATGGGGCAGGAGTATTGTTTTAGAGTAGCCATGGAAGGTCTCTGAATGCGCAGCCTGTGTCCTTCTCCCTACAGTGTAAAAGTTGAAGTAGACCTAAAGTATTATTTATTTACCAAATGTGTACTGAATACCTACTAAGTGTAAGCAGTGGGGCTTGGTTTTGCAAGCCATCCTAATTGTAGACAGAAATGCTGTCTTCCAGGCCTTTAGTTGTCTACTTCCCCAGGAGATGATAAGCTCTCTGAAGGTGAGGGCCAGGTCTTTTGGACTGTATATCAGGGGCATCATAATAGCATTTGATGGAGGAGCAAAGGGGACTTTGTTTTTCAGCTTGGTCACATGACGGGGGGGGCCAATTCGATGACATTGCTAAGATGACTTCATTATATTATGGAATGGTTGGCTGAGGTATTTCTCTAGCTGTTCAGCCGTTAAGACAACAGTGGAGACAAGAGGGAAAAGTAGGTTAAGTTGTGTTTAGTTAGGGTATTGTGTAACCATTAAATTGGGTATAAAGGGGAGCCGAGTTGGAGCCTTGGCTCACTTTCTTTCTCCGTACACACTGTATTGTTTTTTTCCTGTTAACCTTGATTTGCTAGTGTCTTCACAAAAGGTTCCATGCTGCACATCATAAGTGAACTTTGAGGTGGTCACCAGAGATACCGTTTTAGAAGACCTGATCCACAGTGTGTGAGAGAGCAGGAAGGTGATATCCAGAAGATTGCCAGCGTGGATTTTCCTTTTTAGTGCAGAGGAGTTGTCCAGTTAGTCTCCAGAAGACATGAAGGCCAGGTGGTATCACTAGTGGGCAGAGTGGTCATTGGCCTTAACATGTAGCAACCAGGCAGTGAAGCAGGGTCTGAAAGACAAGATTGTACATTTTAGGTACATTTAGTAGCTAAGGACTGAAAGTCTACTCATGTTTATGAATAGTTAGCTTTTCTTAAGCATCCATATTCAGGTACTGATTATTACTGAAAATAGGAAAACGGCTTTTAACATGGAGCTCCCAGGAAATCGCAGATAGTTTCTGATTATGTATTTGGTCAAAGGCATAGCCCGTGTGATTTGCCAGATGAAATTTCCTCGATGTTTGATGATTAAAGGTTTCTAAATTACAATAATCATAAAATATTCTGTGTTGTAATTTTCATGTAGGTTTATTCCAGAGCAAATGAAAAAGAGCCTTGCTGTTGGTGGTTAGCTAAAGTGAGGATGATAAAGGGTGAGGTAGGAAAATGCTTAAATTTTCTTCTTATACTATTACCGTTTTCTAGCCTAGGTACCACATTTCAGTTTGGATTTCTATTTTGAATTAATAATACCTGAATCATTTTTATTAAATATTTTTGCTATACTTTGAGTATGTTCCATGTGTTTCAGTTGATTAAGGTTTGTTTTTGTCTAGAGAATGTATTTTTTTAAATTGAATAGTAGAGAATCTATGACTTAAGAATGACTTTTATTTTTCTCAGTTTTACGTGATAGAATATGCAGCATGTGATGCTACATATAATGAAATTGTCACAATTGAGCGTCTACGATCGGTTAATCCCAACAAACCTGCTACGAAAGATACTTTCCATAAGATCAAACTGGAGGTGCCAGAAGACTTACGACAGATGTAAGTTGTAAATGAGAAATGCTGAGAATATACAGGTGATATAAAGTTAATTTAAGAGCTAGGGGTTTAGCTCAGTGGTGTCGCCGCCTGCCCTGCAAGTGCAAGGACCTGAGTTTGATCCTTGGTACCAAAAAAAAAAACAACCCCAAAATAAATAAAGTTAATTTAAAAGAATGTAAGTTTCAAAATAGTACAGTTAGCAGAGTGTGGTGGTGGTACACACCTATAATCCCAGCACTAGGGAGGCTGAGGCAGGAGGACTGGCATGAGTTCCAGGCCAGCCTGGGCTACACAGTGAGTTCAAGGCCAGTCTGAACTACATAGTGAGACCCTGTCTCAAAAAACAAGCCAACAAAGAACCAAAATACTATATCAATTCAGTGAACTTTGGCAAAATAGTTTGATTCATAAAAGAAGTAGGGAAAAAAACTTACTTAGCTTTTCCTAGTTAGATAATCAAGCCAGCCTTGTACTTGTTTAAACTTACTTAGGTAGATACATGGCCAGTATTCATAATTTATATTTGTTTTATGAAACAGTCTTTTTTCATGAGATTTTGAAACTGACAAAATGTGATAATTCTGCATAAATTACAAGTCACAATTTTAGACCACACATTTCTCCAGGTTTTTTCCTTGTTAGCTAAAATATTGTCAGATAAGTAGGGACAGAGAAGAGCCAAAGATACTTGAGAAGGTCATCTCTTTCTTAAAATCCTTGATCTGGGATACTAATTAGAGACTTAAATAGGGTGTTCCTTTTTAAAGATTACAACAGGGGGCTAAAGTGAGTCTGATTTAGACATAGTGCACCACAAACATTTAATGGCAGTTCAGGGTACGTGGAAATCCTTTTGATTCTAGAGATCATGTGTGTATGAAAATTCTTGTGCCTTTTCATTCGTATACATCTTTTCTCTTTAAATTGGTCAGCTGTTTTTCTTTAAAAAGGAAACAACAAAATCACATATGCTATAGCTGTCCTCATAAGTTTTCACACATTGACTCAAAAAGACATCACATTATACTGCTCCATGTGTACCTATGTTTATAGCAACACAATTCATAATAGCTAAGCCCTGGGAGAGGCCTGTATATCCATCCATAGATCAGTGAATGAAGAAAATGTGGTATTTATACACAGTGGAGCACTACTCTATCATAAAGAAAGATGAACTTGAGTCCTTCGTAGGAAAATGGATACACCTTGAGCCCATAATGTTAAGTGAAATAAATGAGACACAGAAGCTTAAATATCACACGGTTTCTCTTATGAAAATCCAAAATATAAATAAAGGGGAAACTAAACAGTAATAGGAAATAGGGAGATGATCTTTCACGAGTAGGAAGGGGACCAGGTGATGGGAGGAGGGGATGAAAAAAGAACAGCGCTGTTAGGTGCATGTACCAGCTCCCCACGAGGGAGGTAGTCATTCTGTACTACAAACATGGAATAAGAAAAAACTACTGACTTAACCACATGCAGCTGAAATTGAGAAGCTTGCAGAGGAGAGTGGTTCCCCTAAATATGTCTCCTTTGGTAATCTAAGCCCACCTAACCCTAACCTTTTAAGACCATAACTGGTCTTTTCTTCTTTCTTTATGATCTCAAATGCTTGATTTGAGTATTTCAAAGATGGATAGCAAAGGAACTAAACTTGTACATGGATGTAGTATTCAGCAAAAATGAAATGTAATGTGAATCCGTGATCCTTCTGTGTGTACATTTATCTGCATTTTTAATCTCTAGGTGTGCCAAAGAATCGGCACATAAGGACTTTAAAAAGGCAGTTGGTGCCTTTTCTGTAACTTATGACCCAGAAACTTACCAGCTTGTCATTTTGGTGAGTGTTTTGAGCTATTTTTGGTTTATTTCATTTGGAGTGTTTGGTGTGATAATAATGCTGTTACTTAATAAATCATTTAGTCCATCAATGAAGTCACCTCAAAGCGAGCACATATGTTGATTGACATGCACTTTCGGAGTCTGCGCACTAAGCTGTCTCTGATACTGAGAAATGAAGAAGCCAGTAAACAGCTGGAGGTATGTTACTTTTCCTAGCATGTCTTGCGGTACTGTCTAGAAATGATCACTGTAGAGTTCTGAAGCTTGAATACGGGCAGCTTGTAATTTATTTATTTATTCATTCCTTATAGTTTGGAAAATTAAATTGTATAAAGCATAATCATACTAAAGTTTTCATGCCTGAGGTTTCAGGAGTTATTAGCAATTCATGTACTTTAAGGAATTTTTGGTCAAGTCACTCTTACTACAAGTTTGTCAAAGCTGCTAATAAAATGAGGGAATGCTTCTTCCATATAACATGTTATCATAAAAGTACTAGAGAGTGATTAAATATCTAATCATATTCCTTTCATTATGTATGTTTATCTCTGTTTAAAAGGATATAGAACTTCTTCATTCTAATTGGTTGTCACTCTTTAAAACTACTGTCTTCAGATTCCTGCCAGAGGGTATTTCCCTAACTTACTATTTCGTCTCTTAAGGTGCATTTTATCTACTTTTATTAATCTTCCAGTAATTTCCATCATCATACATTGATTTTCATTGATAACTATCTAGTACTTCCATCCATTACCATAGAAACTAAATGAATTTTAGTTTAATGTATCAAGTCGATTATTGTCAAATTCCCTAGTTCCTCATCATCATTCATTTCATTAGGGGGAAAACATCAGTTGAAAGAGTAAAGAAAAAGGAGTTCCAAACTTCATTCTAAAAGAGGAGGTAGTCAAGGCTGTATTCTGTAGAACCCTGTGAAATTTGCCACCTTCCAACTTGACATGATTTCTGAACTCTTAGCAGGAGAGGACAGATTTACTTTGTTTGGCTTATGGCCACGGTGGTCTGTTTGATTCTTTTTTGCTCATATTCTTTCTTGTACCTGTTTTCACAATTTTGTGGTTTCTTTAGTGATTCTTTCATAACTTTTAGGCTACAGCAGCCTCCTTACTTTCATTGTGAGTATTAGTGGAAATATACTCATATACCTCTTCTTAAACATCTAATTCTTCTTAAATGCTAAGTTACTGTATCTTTATCTTTCCATTTATCACTGTATTATAGATGAAAAGAATAAATCCAGTTAATGAACCAGGACTCAAAAAGCATGACTTCTTGGAAAAATCTAGGGATTTTTTGTGTATGTTATTATTATTTTAATCTAGAAAAGGGATATAGCACCTGTAGAATTGAATATACAGTACTAGGTATATTCGTTTAAATTATCAGTTGGGTTGAATAATGAGAAACTAGTGTGCATGCCTCTTTCTTCACTACTAATATTGAAGAGATTCACATATTCCTATGAGAAATACCCATTTTTCAACATGAGCCACTAATATGTTTGGTTTTCATTAATGGCATGCTAGAACTAAACATTAAATTTGGCATACTACTTAAAGATAAGATAGTAATTATCCACAAGTTTGGGGTATCAGTGGAACTTAGTTTTGTCATCACTGATTATTTGAAACTCATCCTACTTGTGGATCCAGGTCACCGGGTCTTACAGACTCTAAGCTCAGTTTAGGTTTTCAACTCCTATGTAAGATATGTTTTGAATCTTTGACATTTTCTAAGTATTCATTTTACTTACTGTGCCATCACTTTTACGATTCCTTCCCATAGGTGTGTGGGGGCGTGTGTTGTTTTAATGTCATCTTTTCAACAAGGAATGTTTAGATCATAGTACCTAGTGATAAGTTATAAAAATGGCACTGTTTCCAGAAAAGTTTAATAAAAATGAAGTAAACAAGGTTTTCTGTAAAGTTCGTATTTTTCTTTTCCTTTTTCCTTTTTTTAAAAATTTAAGTAACATTGAGTCTGTCAGACCCATTGAGCTGGTTTTTATTTGGGAACATTTGATCTGCTTCTTACTACATTGTTTATGTCATTGGTTAACTAAGGCAGCCTTGCAAATAGGTTTTCAAAAGTTACCTTGGAAATTTGTCAACAAGCTCTTACCGTTAACAAAAATATATCAAATGGCATAGGCCTTCAGTAACCCCAAAAATATTTATGCTCTGGGAGATCTTTTCTAAAATTAGTTTTCAACTGAAACTAATTTATAGGCCCCTGATATACAGGGTCAAGATAATTTACATGGCTGACCTAAATACAGTTGTCTTAATAGTTGATAAAGCATATTCATCAGTTGTGCATTTCTCTTCAGAGTTCACGGCAGCTTGCCTCCAGGTTTCATGAACAGTTTATTGTACGAGAAGATCTGATGGGTCTAGCTATTGGTACTCATGGTGCTAATATTCAGCAAGCTAGAAAAGTACCTGGGGTGACTGCTATTGATCTAGATGAAGATACCTGCACATTTCATATCTACGGAGAGGTAAATATTTTTCTAAACAGCACCCCCCAAAGTCATTATTCCAGCTTGTTAAGTCTTTATTCTTAACTTTTTCCTCTTTTTTAATAGGATCAGGATGCAGTTAAAAAGGCAAGAAGTTTCCTTGAGTTTGCTGAGGATGTCATACAAGTTCCAAGGAACTTAGTAGGTGAGTCTGAAATAACCATTGACATACATTACTAAAACAAAATTCAGGTAAACTGTGTTTTATACCAGTAGAATTCCCATTTCCCCTCAAGAGTATCAGTTAATTGAGGCATAATCTTTGAAATGTAGCCTGTTGTTATAGTGTCCAGAAAATATTTAAGTGTGATGCTCCAATATTATATTTTTAGAAGGTATGCAAAAGACAATGCATTGCTAGTTCTAACCTAATGCTTGGCAGGATAAACTTTACCCATCCTCCTCACTGTATATTTTTTATATCTTTAAAATTGAGTAAAATTTTTTTCCACATGAATGTTTGGGACCTTTATAATTTGGAGTTGATTGGTATTTGATCTCTCCCTAATGGTGCTATAAAATGATAGCATTCAGTTTAATTATCTCAGGGTTAAAGATAGGGCTGTAGGTTACTTAAATCTAGTAAGTTTCAAAGTAGATATAGCTCTACATGTCTCTGGGGCTTTCTGTAGTCAGTGGTATGTCCTTATTTTTATTATTGTTTCATGGCTATCACCATCATCGTGAGCGTTTACAAATATCTAGAAACTCTTCAACCCTCCCAAATTCTACAGCTATGTTTGGTGGAACATCGTCAAAATTGTGTAATTTTATCAAGAAAACTATTTTAATTTGGCTTATAAATAAGATAGGGACATCTTTGCAAACTTGAGGTTGTGACTGATTATAAAAATTGATAACCTCTTTCAGTGTCATTAAATATCACTAATGATATTTTTCTCCCACAGAAAATCAGCTTGAAGATAAAGTACAAATACTAGTGAAATAATACAGAATTAATAACTCAGTTTTATACCACAGACAGTCATCGTGACTATGTAATATTATTGAGATAACTCAGGTACCAGTTGTGTAGAAAATGTATACACAACGCAGGGCGAAGTAATTATTTTCAGGACAATCGGATAAATAATCGGTATTTATTTTTTTCCCAGTTTGTCAGGCAAGTGCACACATTTTGTATTAAGTATTATTGTAAATTTAGTAATTCTTATGAAAATATAGCCAATAGTGTATTTTGTATTATCAGATACATGGAAACTTGTGTCTGTCTCAAGTCTCGTTAAGGTATTTTAGAGACAGCAAGGGGAAAGTACTTGGCTTGGGAGTTGGGTCTACATTTCAGGCTTACTTCATTCCTTGGTAGCTGTGACCTTGGGCAACTGATTTATCCTTCTTGCGTCTTCTTCACCGATCAGAAAAGGTGGTAATAGTATCCACCTCACAGAGTTGCGTGTACAAACGTATATGAAGTACTTAGGACAGTTCTGGACATAATAGAGGACTGTGTTCTTTTTCCTTCACCCTGTCCAAAACAAGCCGATTTCAGTAGAGCCGAGTTATAGTAAATTCTCCAGTGAGATTTAGGAATGTAGAACTGGATCGTTACTAAATAGTATTTGAATTCTGCCTGTGATCTTATCTGGAAATAAGAGGAACATAGAAGTGACCTACCAAGGAGCCTGCTGAAGTAAATCAGACTGATTTTTGTTGTGATTCTAAGTAAAGTGAGAGAATTCCATTTTTGAGAGGTCTACTGCAACATTGGGAATGTTGGGGATTTTTCAGAAAGAGTTTTTATATAAAATTTGGTAAGGCAGGTCTTTAGGGAGATGACATAATCAGTATTACATGAGTTTTGTTGGAGTTTCATAATAACATTTATGATCTGTTTTTCACAAAACTCTTTAGCATGTACACTGATTTATCTCCCTTCTCTTATAATTTGCTGTTTCTTACCTACAGTACTTTGACCACAAACATGTTTAACCAGTTAGCTATAGATAGCACAGTATTTAGGATAGTCTAGACATTATCTTTTGAAAGGGTTGTTTGGTTTTTGATTTTTGTTCTTTTTTGACACCAGGGGATCGAACTCTGGACCTTGAGCTTGCAGGCAGGAGGTGGCACCACTGAGCTAAATCTCTGGCCCTGGTTTTTCTTTTTTTACAGATGGGTCTCACTATGTAGCCCAGGCTGGCCTCAAACTGGAGGTGATCCTCCTGCCTCAGCCTCCTGACTGCTGGGATTACAGGTGTCCACCACCATGCCTGGCTAGTGAAGACATTGTCTTGATAGAAACATGCCAAAATCTCACTTTTCTTTTTGCCAACTCATTTAAACCTTTATTAAAATCCATATTAATTCATGAAAGTAAAACTACTATTGATTAAGCAAACCGTAGGAAGACTCCAGGTAGCATCTCTCTTCCCACCCCTCTCCTTTTCATCTGAAGATGAGAAGAGCAGAAGTAATTGACAGAATGTCCTGAATCAGGAGTATTAAGTAGCATCGTATCTGTTCCCTGACCACTGGAGATGGTGAGCCAGCCATACAGAAGCAAGAGTGTCAAAGCTGGCTTCTGATTACAAGAGCCACAGATTCCTTCTGTGATAAGGTCTTTCACTGGGTTCCTAGCTAGGATTGGCTCAGTGAATTTTGGCTTCCATTTTCCCCCAACTCTGCCTCAGATGAGATTGTGGGGCAAGCACATGATGGATGTGGCCACTGTGAGGGTACTTCAGGTCCCTTGGCTAACCCTAAATCAGATATAGCTCACACACTGATTATAAGATCAGTAGTTCTTATTTGTAATGTCTTGCTTTACACTATGTGTGATGGTGGCTATGAAAGCAGTCATGTCCCAGGTGGGTATGTGATTGAATTTTATTAACTGAGGGAAAGAATCAGGTGCCTGTTTGTTACTACTACTTGAGGTCTTTGGAGTTTTAACATGTTATCCAAGAGTGCTTACTGGTTCTAACCACTGATCAGTCCAGATATTTAGATACAGGATGATCAAAAATTGCATATCTTTTTTTATTAATTTTATAAGATAATAGGAAATATTAAAACAAAAATTTTGCCAAATTTGTTCAACACAAGAATCCACTGGATGAAATGACACCTACCTAAGCAGTACTCGGGATAGTCAGTACGTAAACAAATGAGTGACGCTCAGGGTAAACTGTTCAGTGGTTAAGCTTTTTCATTATGGTTTTGAGTTATCTGAAGTGTGCTTTCTTAATCTTTTACTCTGTGACTAATCTCTCCACCTACTGACATGCTGCTGTAATTTGTGACAAATGCACCAGGATAATAATTCTCAACACATTGGCCTGATGAATTCATATGCCTTTTAGTATACCTGCTTTAAGCCACTTTTTGAATAGGTTTTACAGATGTACTGTAGAGGCTTCAAAAAATATTTACTGCAGATTAACAGCACATTTCAAATACAAGTAAGAATAGAAATTGTCAAATGAGAAAATTATCCTCTTTCTCGATTCCTTTTGTGAGAACTTTGCAGAGAGTGCTAAGGCACCACAACACCAGCAAGTTTAAAGTATCCCCTCTTATGCACAATAAGAGGCTGTCTTTGAACTGCTTTAAAAATTGAGTTACCCAGTCAGTTCCAAGTGGTAATTGTATGTACTTACCTAACCAAAGGAGTGTAAGTAATGATGAGCTAATCAAAAAGAAAACTAATCCAATTCTGCCTTCTTGAAGAGTCTGTTTCGAATCTTATAATGCAGTACATATATATGAATGTGACAGTTTACGGTGGCATGTGCTTATGGAGTTTGAAGTATGTGTTTTTAAAACTAAACATGAATTGTTCGTTTCTTAGGCAAGGTAATAGGAAAAAATGGAAAACTGATTCAGGAAATTGTGGACAAGTCAGGAGTTGTGAGGGTGAGGATTGAGGCCGAAAATGAGAAAAATGTCCCTCAGGAAGAGGTATGTCACAGTGCGTGTTCTGGTTTGTCTAGTAAAAGTAACATTTTGTATTTTATTTGACATTTATTTAGAGGCCTTACACTATACACACAATATGAAAGCAGGTATTCTAATTTTCATGCATGCCTGATATACCTGATGGTATCATTGTAGCTAATGATCTCTGTTCTCTAATGCTGTGATTTCCGATTAGCCACTTTAACCCATTTAAGTCTTGCTTTTTGATCATTAAAATGGACTTCGCCAGGAGTTAATGAATCTTAATGAAATAATATTTATGAAAATGCTTTGTTCATAGAGCACTTTTCAGATGTTGCTGACAAAGACAAAATTGGTACACAGGTGTACTGGCTTTCAATCTTCTGCTGTTTTAGTTTGGGGATTATGTGCTATGTGTGTTGATTCTCTGTGTTTTACATTTTTTTTCGGGGTAAAACATCATTTCTCCCAACACTCTCATTTTTAAATTTTATAACTGACTTTTATCTTGCTAGATACATGCTTTTGGCTAGCAACTTTTGAAGTGTTTGTATGGAGTGGAGGAAGTGAGGCGTTCCCTTTTGTGCAGTGTACTCTTGTTTAAGATACTGTCTTCTCAAAGTGTCATAGTTTTCTCATACTATCTTGCCTTCTTTATATGAAAGGTTCTTTTAGCTGAAGTTAAAACCTTTGAATTTTTTTATTGATAAGTTTTACATTCTATGATTTTATAAACTAAGACTATAATAAAATAATCTTTGATACAGTAATGCAGTTAAAACCTTAAAAAATTGGATTTTTTTGTCTTTTGTGTTTTCATCAAGGAGATTATGCCACCAAATTCCCTACCTTCTAACAGTTCAAGGGTTGGATCTAATACCTCTGAAGAAAAAAAACATTTAGATATAAAGGAAAACAGCGCCAATTTTTCTCAACCTAACAGTACAAAAGTCCAGAGGGTAAGAATTGTTTGTCACTTTGAATTATGCTAAAAGGACTTTCTTCAACTCAGGTGTCATGTTTGGTGCTTCGGGTATTTTCTCTGATTAGAATTGTAGGCTACTCATGTTGTGTTTTTTCAGATCTGATTGCCAGCTTATGAGACATTACAAACCAAAATGATATATACCTTTTCTGTTTATTCACAGTGACCAGTCTTACACTGTAGACATAACGGGGTTGCATTTTTCTTTGGAGGGTGGACTTTCTTTTTTCCATGCTGTATCGCCTTAAGTTTTGCAGGTGTTGTAGCTCAAAATGTACCTTCTGTTAGAGGCATTATTTACTAGAAACTGGTTTTCAGTATCTTAACTAACCTAACTGTTTAGAAATGGGTTTAGAAGTCCTGCAGTGAAAGTCCTGCGTTCAGGCTTCTGTGTATCATTTGTTATAGTTAATGACATCACTTGCATTCCTTATACTGCTTTAGGTGTTAGTGGTTTCATCAATTGTAGCAGGGGAATCCCAGAAACCTGAACTCAAGGCTTGGCAGGTAGGAGAACATTCCTTGAAAAATACATTATAAGTTGATATTTTAATGTTTAACCCCCTTGTTAAGAAAGACTACAAGTCATCCTGGTTGGGGGCTGGTGGAGGAGTGTTTGGGGGTATGTGGATCTGTTGCCCTGGGGATAAAGCTCAAGCACCTTCGGGCCGCTTGTAAGGTTGATAAGGCCTCTCTGGGTTACTTGTCCAGTGTCTTCTCTCACCAGTCTTCCCCTTGTACTCTAGAAAAGCTTGAGCTGTACTGAAGTACTTGGAGTTCTCTGAACATTACCGTATTCTCTGTTGCTTCTAGATGTGTGCACTAGAAACCTTCATGTGGGATTACTCTGCCCGAAGTCTCTTTCACCTCCATTTGCCATCTCACTTTGACCTAGTCCTTGTGAAGCTTTTCTTGCTTACTTGCCACAGGTCCCTCATTGAGCCAAGAGCCTTCCCTTCATAATTCAGCATGCTCACACTGAGCATAGCACTGTTAAGTTGTTGATCTCCTCAATCAGTTATAAGCTCCTTGAGGACAGGGTCCCCTACTTGGACCTGGGAAAACTATTTATGGAAAAGATGTTATGACTCAGAAGAGATTAAAAACAAAACTGCAATTTTAAACAGAGAACTGTAACTGCAAGTAGATTGGATATTACTCCTCTCTGCTGGGCAGCCTTGATTTTCTCCAAAGTCAGTCTAACTAAATCAGTAACACAGGATTTAAAGCTTATTTTGGTGATAATTGGGGAAGGGTGCAGCATTCCATCTCATGGTATTTTAGGAAATAATAATGTTCACAGCTTTGTAACCAAGTTATTTGGGAAAGAAACACAACAGCTAACAATGATGCCCTTGAGAAAACAGATCTGATTTATAGGCCTGATTGTTTCCATGCTTTATATAATTTGATGCAAAAATACACGTAGGAAGCACATGGGTATTCAGTAGTAATTGATTCTTCAAATGGTCATGACTAACAGGAGGCAGTGCCTTGCCTACTGGATGAAGGTCAGCCTGCACACACTATTTACCATTGCTCAGTTTTATTCCCTGCCAATACCCATGTCCATGGCCAGGGAAGAAGAGAGACTTGTGCCAGCCTATACACACCGTTAAGGTGCTATATGCCAAAAGCAAGGAGCAAAAGCAGCCCAGTGGTAGCTACAATTAGCTACTGAGTGGTCTAAATGAAAGTCTGATACTTTGCTCAAGGTGCAGCTGCTTGGCTTCTCATATCTTTTAACTTTGCCTACCGGTGATTACATATCCACATCAAAGCCACCATAGGACTTTTTGTTCGTCACTTGTGAACATCAGGAGCCATGTATATTTCTTCAGTAGGAAAATACTTAACTATTCTCAATTTTGGATGCCATAACTTTCTACTCTTTTGTACACTTGTGGCTAGGCTTGTGATAAGAAATAGGTTTTTTTCCCTCATTTATACCAATGAGCTAGGAGTTGAAAGTTTAGGTTATACCCTTTAAAAAAAATCTATTCTTGGGCCCAGGATTTAGCTCAGTGGTTCTGCTGCTTGCCTCGCAAGCTTTAGATCCCGAGTTCAATCCCAGGTACCAAAAAAAAAAAAATCTATCCTTATGTTAAGGTGGTAGCCATAGAGAGATCATCAAACTTTCCTTATGACTCAGCCTTTTAAAATTTTCAGAGTATGTTATTGAAATGTATATGGTCTTGGTAAATTTTACGCTCATGAATGTGCCTACCCTTTTTTGTCTCACAGATAATTACTGAGTGTATTTGTATTTATCCTAGTTCGTTCCTATTCATATGTTGTTTGTACTCTGGTGACTTGGCTAGCACAATTAATTTAGTTTTTTTACTTTTTCACCCCTGGTATCTAAATTTGAATTTCTTTTTGAAGAATTTGATCTAGGTAAAACTTGCAGTAAATGAATTAGAGCATTGTACAGTATTCATTTTGTTCATGCATCTGTTAAAGCTTGTATAATTTTGAATTCTGTATTTGTCATTTTGCCAACATTTATTAGTAGTCGTTCAAACATAATCCAATGCATTTATGGAGTTGCTGTATTGATCTGTCTTTATTCACAGTAGATGTGTAAAATATACCAACTACTTTTGTTTTCATGTATTGATTTATATTTCTAACAAACGTTTGTGTACTTACTGTCTGCCAGACCCTGTGCTAGGCATTTGTCATTATTTGCATTTCTCATATTAACCAACCACAAATTTAATAGGCTCATCTATTCCAATTTCTTTTTCAGGGTATGGTACCATTTGTTTTTGTGGGAACAAAGGACAGCATCGCTAATGCCACTGTTCTATTGGACTATCACCTTAACTACTTAAAGGTGAGAACAGGAAGAATTTAACTTCTAATTATGTTACACTAAAATACAAAAAAGTCCATAGTAAATCTTTAGGTAGGATTCATTCTAGCTTGTGCATTACGATGTATGTCCTTAGAAAAGGTAATAGAGAAAATACGTTATTTAGCTTACATTCCTTCTAAAAACACAACTTAGTTTTTCCAGTGGTTTTTTTTTGGGGGGGGGGGTTACCGGGGATTGAACTCGGGACCTTACGACAATTTAGTTTATCATTATAAATTTAAGGGCTAATATTCCAGTGCTCAATAAAGTCCTATATTTTTGCTTATTCTTCTCTTAAACCATTACTCAATTTAGGTAATCCTGTACATGGCCTTTTATACTTTTTTTTTTTTTTGGTACCAGGTATCGAACTCGGGTCCTTCCACTTACGAGGGAGGTGGCAGAACCACTGAGCTAAATTCCTGGCCCTGTACATAGCCTTTTAATCCAGCTGATCCTTCCTAGCTTTTGTGGATTTTTTCCCAGGCTAAATTTTGTGTCTTTAGCACTTGCCTTTGTTGTCCCTTTTATGTCATTTATTAAGGAAGTCCCAGCATTTCATGAAGTCCTCTGTTTAAATGTTTACCCTTTATATTTTTCTCTATACATTTATTCAAAATGTATACTATTTGTGTCTTCTTGTAAATGCTTATTTTAACTAGAATTTTAGTTAGTTGTGCCTCCTCTAGATTGCAAGCTGGGAGATAGGAATCAGGAGGCTACAAGGTGTAGAAAGAGCACTGGACTAGCAATACAACATGAACTAGCTGTGTGATTTTAAACATGTCATATGTCATTTCCATAGACTACATGCTTTTTGAAATTCCTTTTGGACAAAATATCTTACAATTTATTAAAATTGAATCTTATCTATTTCATTTTTATAATTCCTCTGTAGCTGTATGTGTCAAAATTACAGTGTAACTGGTATGAAGTCATCATTAAAAAATAACCCAACTTTCTATTTTACTTATGGTACTATCCTGATAAGATTTTTGGTAACTTAAATAAAAAGTAAATGATTCTACTTTTGTGTAAATAAGAGTGAAAGAAAGAAAAAGTGCAATAGCTGGACATTTCGTTCACTCTTAATGGTGGTCAGTTAATAATTGAAAATGGGAAGGTTTCATCCAGCAAGGTTTGCATGGGTAGGATACCACTTTGATTTGCTTATTTGTTTTTGTTTTGCAGTCTGTTTTCCATGCAATCTGTCGTATTTTTCTTCACATTCTTAGCTTAAATAATTATGAAGACCTGAACAGTTAGGGTTGCATTGTACCAAATCCCTTGTTCTTTTGACTAATGTTCTTCCTTAGACCTTTTGATTTATTCTTCACAATTGAATATCTTGTTTGATCAGCAGCAGCTGTCCCATTGTCATTCTTTTCATCATCAGATCTTCCCCGGGTTGGTTCTGGGCACTTCTCACCAAATGGTGACTGCTTTGCCCCAGTGAGATAAACCCGGAATACCATTCTGTTTTGCAAGATCTGTGTACCTGTTCCATGAGCTATTATTACACTGTTGGAGGAAGCCTCTCCAGTCTCTCCTTTGCTTCTGTCCAGTGTAAAACAGATTCTGGCTCAGAGCACAAATGAAACTCCCCTCAGATCTTTATCTGACCTTTCTTTTCTAGATATTACAACCAAGGTTTTAGGAACTTAGAATTTCTGGAGCTTCTCTGATGACTGTTCATGCAGTCTCTATGATGACCTCTGCTTGACTGAGGCATGAGGCACCAATCCTTAGTGTAGTTAGAGATCTGTGACTCCCTGTAGCCAGTAAGTGCGAAGGTTAGGAGTATATTGGAGGGACAAAGGTAAAAAATGAGAGTTCATCTGACTTTGACAGAACCTATCTTATTGGAAGCACTGTATAAAAGGGTCTGTCAATGGATCCCGGGTATATATTTTGATCAACTGAATTTATACTCTTTGTTGTACTTGTTTTAGCAGAATTGTAGTCTTTAAGAGGTTTCTGAGGTATGATGTGAGACCTAGCTGTTTTGGGCAACTAGGAAAAAGTTTATTTCCTTTTATATAAGGAATATCAGCATTTTCTGTTCATGGAAAGTAATTGCTCCTTAATTTTATAATGACATCCAGAGTAGTATATGTTATTTTAAAATGAAAGGTGGCCCACACTTAGTGCTTTGTAAACTTAGATATTAACTAGCAAATCCATTTTACTTAAGTTCATTTTACAGTGTGTGAGTTTTTAAGTTAGCTGGTTAAGCCTTAAATGTCTTTTATCTATATTGGTACATTTTAGTATTGTTTTACTCAACACCCTGTCTATCATCAAGAAATCTCAAAGCCGACCCAGTGTATCTGTGCCTTAGCCATAGAATAATTGGATGCTAATAGTGCCAAATCAAGCAACCATAAAGTTTATTGCTGAGTATTTTTGTTCTATAGTTCTGGACATCAATAATCTTATTATCTATAGTAATTTTCTTTTTAAGGAGACCAATTTCTTGATAAGTCTGTGTAGCAGTGTTTACTGTAAATTTAGAACTGAAATTGAAATATTTTCAGTATTCTTTTTTATCTGATGAAAAGGAGAAAGGTATTATTAAGTAAAATGTCAAATTATTTTTACTGTTATCTTGTATATTTTAAATAGGAAGTAGACCAGTTGCGTTTGGAGAGATTACAAATTGATGAGCAGTTGCGACAGATTGGAGCTAGTTCTAGACCACCACCAAATCGTACAGATAAGGAAAAAGGCTATGTGACTGAGGATGGTCAAGGAATGGGTCGAGGTAGTAGACCATACAGAAATAGGGGGCACGGCAGACGCGGTCCTGGATATACTTCAGGTACAAACTAAGCATTTTACTCAGTAACTTTATCTGTTCCTAGACTTAATAGCTGCTAATCTCTAATATTCATTAGAACCCCATAATAACAGTTTCTCACAACATGGTTTCCAATTCACAGTGGGTCAAATTGTGTTTCAAGAGACATAGAGCACAAATAAAAACCTGCTAATGACATGCATAGTTCACAGGGCAGTTGTGATTTCTGTCCGTGTTGATTGGGGATTAATCTTCTTAAGCCCTTGTGTGTTGATGACTTAAGCCCTCTCCTGATTTTATTACTGTATAGCCAAAACTTTTTCATTTGTGTACTGTGGCTCATTTTTTGTCAGGCATGTGCTGGTCATACTTGCTGGATGGACTGTGTAAATCAGGGGTCTGCATCCTGTGCTCATAAGGTGATTTTGAGTGGTATGGCCAGAGTCAGCCCTAGGCGCACTCAAGAAGTAGGCGAAGGACCTCTTTGCCTTCCCAGCTCTTCTGTCTGTGCTTCTGTTCTCCTGTCCCAGTACCTTTCAGTGAACCTGGTCCCCACCCACCACTGCCTGTCTTTCTTGCTCAACTGTGTATCTACTCTGTAACTTGCTGATGCTGATGGTGTAAGGTATAATAATCCAGCTCGCGAATATTCGCATTTCAAAAAGGAACTTTCTGATAGAAAAGCCTTCAGGATCCACAGGAAAGAAGCCATAATGGTGAAGCTGTAATTGGTCATTAGCTCCATCAGAGGAAGAGGGATGGGGGGTGATAGAGTTGATATTCTGGAGTTGGGGAGAGACAGCTACTCCTAAGGCCAACCTCGACCCTAACCCCAAACCCTCTCCTGACGGATCTGCTCTTTTTACGAATGAATTGACCTTACCATGGAGCTCTTTTATCTTACTCCCATTCCCTGTGTCATTCACCTGCTTAGGTATAACAATTGGTTTTAATAGTAATCCTTTATTCATGATCAGTTATTTCATCGGGAGTGGGAGGGAAGGTTGTGGACCAAATATCAGGCAAAACATATCCCATTCTTTGGAAATAATCTGATTCTACAAGACACCCGTCCTTGAGACAGATGCCACAGTAGCCTTCATTGCCAGCCTTCCAAAGGTGACCAAAATGTATACATTCTCCTCTTATCCCTTAGCCAAATCTTATTAAAAGTTCTTTATAGAAGTTTACCAGGCTATTGTGTTTAACAGTTGTGGATAACTTTTCCTCCAGAGAACACAGATGTTTAAAGATATGGTACATTCAGGTTTGAACTTAGGTAGTTAATAAAATACCTTTTTTTAAAAAATGAGAACCCCAACCATTTATAACCAAAATTACCTCAAATATTGCAGAGCCCTTCATTTTGAATTTAAATTTGTTTTGCTTATAAAGTAGAAGGTGATAATACTCTTGTGGGCTTTTAAGTTGGGAAGAGTGTTGAATTACCCCTGAAACGTCTCTGGAAGCCTCTGTTAACCTTTTTTTTTTTTTTTTTTAAGTCAGACAATGGTATATAACTTTTAACTCTCGATAGGAACTAATTCTGAAGCATCAAATGCTTCTGAAACAGAATCTGACCACAGAGACGAACTCAGTGATTGGTCATTAGCTCCAACAGAGGAAGAGAGAGAGAGCTTCCTACGCAGAGGAGACGGGCGGCGGCGTGGCGGGGGAGGAAGAGGACAGGGAGGAAGAGGACGAGGAGGAGGCTTCAAAGGTACAGGGGCTTTCATTATTGAGAAGTAGAGATGAATTATAGCAGCTGTCCGAAGTTCCACGAAAAGTCTTGGTGATCCAGTGATGATCAAGATCCCATCTCCTGTTTCATGTTCACCCTCGTAGGAAAGGATCTGTCTTATGTATAGTATTGATAACTGGTTCAACATCTCTGGGGAGTCTAATCAGCATCTGCTTGTTAACTCAGATTGATTTATTGATGCCTTTGGGATATGTTCTGTTTCTCGGTTAATAGATTATTAACCCTTATGTAACTGGAATCACTAAGCTAGTGATGGCAAAGCTTTTGGAGCTTTCAGTGATGTGAACATCCTGCTACGGCATGCCTGCCATACTTTCGCCACCCCTGCTAAGCTATTAATTGCATTTTAGTTTCTGTGGTCGGTCTAAAAAGAGGATGTGGGAATATAGCATTTCCAATAAACATTTTAGAATCAGTAACAGTTGAACCTTTTAAAAATATTCCTGTAGGAAATGACGATCACTCCCGAACAGATAATCGTCCACGTAATCCAAGAGAGGCTAAAGGAAGAACAGCTGATGGATCTTTTCAGGTAAAACTTATGTGCTTCTTGCTACTGAAATTGTTTGAGTACATTTATTTTTAGCCATGTTCAAGGATTGCAAATTTTGGTGTACATGAAAATCTTCCCTTCACCATTACAGTTGTGGGCAGTCTTAGTCCTTTGCGACATGTATCCAAGTACGAGGATTTCTCTAGAGAATGTAATCTATGTGACAACTTGGATGGCCACATTATGATTATAATACGACATTGGTGGACCCTGATACCCCCAAAAAAGGAACTTTCTGAAATGTACTAAGTGTAAGTCCCATAGGTACCTTCAGCCCTGAATTGCAGGGACTAGGTGTTCTCTGTAAGAAGTAAAGAAAAGATGTCTCTTTCACAACTAATAGCCATTGTAGATAGGGCTTAGCATGTTCAGTTAGTCTTCCCATCAGATCTGTCAGCTGTTTATTTATAGATAAGGTCTATTCTGAGGATCCCTTCTCAAGCAGTCATTGCTGGTGCTAAACCTATTGTGAAACAGTTTTATCTATTAGTTTGTTTTTGTTTTTGGTACTGAGGATCCCTACTCATGACCTTGCACTTTTGAGGCAGGGTGGTGCCACTGAGCTAAATCCCCAGCCCCTTGTGAAATAATTTTAAAATTACCCCCTGAGGACATCCAGACATCTTTGCTAAGTGTTTCATATATGTTTTTATTTAACCTAATCTTACAGCAGCCCAGAGAGGTAAGTAGTTTTATTATTCTGTGTTGTAGACTGATGTTTCATTCCTTTGCCCATAGTCACATGGCAGCATATGTTGGAGTGGTTTTCAAACAATAGTGTCTGATTCACAGGACCTACGTTCTCTTCTGCTTCATCTGTAACTTACAGTTCTTAAATAGAGTTCCTTTCTCACTGTGGATTGGTTTGAAACCCGTACTCATGATTACTGGGAGACAGCTCTTAAGACAAAAACTTGATGGTAGAATAATGATAGAATATTCCTTAGAATTGATAGCAGCTCTGATTAACTGTTAACTCTTGACAGTTTCTATGGGATCAATATAGAAAAGCCTCAGACCTATATAAAAAGATTGGTAAAATATTATTCATGCATGTCATTTAAAATGATACAAGATATTTCTGTACCAGTTTTATAATTGCTTACTTAAACTGACATGTTTCATGAATTTGGCAGTATGACCATATTGGTTAAAAGGATGCATATTTATAGTAAAATACGGAGTAGAAAGATTGTTTTCTATGTAAGTATGAAAGTAGAGACAAAGCACTGAACTTTTAACAATTAAACATTTAAAGCACGTATCTGAACCCAGCACTTTAACAAAAGTACAACTGTTTTGAGATGCTTTAGCCTTTGTACTTAACGCACATCAAAGCTTGCAGTTGTCTGAGGTCATTGGTCATCTGGAATTCTCTTAGAAGTATTTGGCGCTGTCACTTAAAATATTTTGCAACTCTTAGAATGTTTTTTAAATCAATCTTTCTACCGTTTTGGGATTCTAGTCCTTCCGCTTTTTAAAAAATTTCCCTCTACCATTGTGTTCATCAAAGTTCAAGTTGTAGGATCGTCTGCATTGCCTTACTGAAGTTACTAGAAAGCAGTACTCATATTTTTCTACTGTAAAACAGTGGGAGCTCTCATTTAAAGTACTGAGCAACATACCTATAATAGATATAAAGATGTAAACTAGAGGTTAGCTAATATGTTGAGTTCTTATCTTGGTAAAGCTAGAATAGGAAAACATTTTGTGTCTCTTCTCCTGGGTTTTACAATCATTGAAGAATGACCCTTTTTTTTTTGTACCGGGGATTGAACTGAGGACCTTGCACTTTCGAGGCAGGCGGCGGAACCACTGAGCTAAATCCCTGGCCCCTAACCTATTCTTTTTTAACTCTAGTGCTATCATGAGATATACTATGCTATATATGTATATGTTATGCTGTATACTTTACATAAGGCATGTATATCTTCTGGTAATCAGTAACAGTAATTTAACTATTTGTTTCTCACCATTTTATTCTGCTTAGAAGAAGACATGGTAGGACTGTGAGTTTTTCTCTAACTTTGGATGCAGTGAAATGAACAGTATGTTCCAGTTAAAGAAGAGAAGAGTCTTTTAAAGTCATAAGCCAAATAAAGACCTTTCTTTAATTTCTTGCAGTTCCTCTGTTCTCATCTCTATTTCCCCTTTTAACTTGTGGAATGTACACCTTAGGCTTGGAATTTACACTTCAGGCTTACATTTCTTGTCAGGCCACTTACAGATTACAATAGGATATGGTCTGTATATATAACAACTATAACTTGTTTTAGATCAGAGTTGACTGCAATAATGAAAGGAGTGTCCACACTAAAACGTTACAGAATACCTCCAGCGAAGGTAATCGGCTGCGCACGGGAAAAGATCGTAACCAGAAGAAGGAGAAGCCAGACAGCGTGGATGGTCAGCAACCACTCGTGAACGGAGTACCCTAAACTGCATAATTCCGAGGTTATATTTCCTATACCATTTCCGTAATTCTTATTCCATATTAGAAAACTTTGTTAGGCCAAAGACAAATAGTAGGCAAGGTGGCACAGGGCATAAAATGAGACACAAATTCTGCTAAGAATTTTTTTTTATATTGGCCAATAAGCACCAGTTTTTCAGATTTGCACAAAAAGAACTTGAAATTTGAAATACTGCTTTTAAATACACTTAGCACTTCAGGGCAGGATTTTACTTTTGTTTTTTTAAAAGTACCGAGCAGTTATATTCTCTGTTAATTTGGACCATTTTCCACATTGGGTGATAACTCACCAGTACATTTCAAGCTTTCTGAATAAATAGCGTTTATGGTACTCATACTAGACTTCTGTTTTCAATCTCATATAGAAGTCTCCATAAAATGCTATGCCATTTCATGTCCTGTGTCAGTTTATGTTTTGGTCCACTTTTCCAGTATTTTAGTGGACCCTGAAATGTGTGTGATGTGACATTTGTCATTTTCATTAGCAAAAAAAAAGTTGTATGATCTGTGCCTTTTTTATATCTTGGCAGGTAGGAATATTATATTTGGATGCAGAGTTCAGGGAAGATAAGTTGGAAACACTAAATGTTAAAGATGTAGCAAACCCTGTCAAACATTAGTACTTTATAGAAGAATGCATGCTTTCCATATTTTTTCCTTACATAAACATCAGGTTAGGCAGTGTAAAGATTAGGATTTGTTTTTGTTTTTGTTTTGTTGCACTGAAGTTTGACAAATAGTGTTATTGAAAGGGATGTGTAATTTTTCTTTATAGACAGGAGAAGAAATAACTTATCTTTTCATTTGAGAGAGGCTGAAATGTTTTCAACTAGGAGCAAATCTTCCTGGTTGAAAGTTAGTAGCATATGCCTGCTCTTTGGCCTGATGACCAGTTTTAATGTAGAGCCTTTTTAATTTTTTCCTCCCCATGTTTTGTGAAGTTAATCATGTTTTAAGTTCAATTTTATTTTGGGAAGATAAGGTCATTTTCATGTACACATAATAATCCTGTGAAGTACAGGTACTTTCTTTGTCTAAGAAATATTGGAAGCAGGTTCAATGTTTTGTAAACTTTGAAATATGGAGGTCTAATGTATAAGCCCAATGGAAAAACAGACTAGAATTGGTTAACAACAATACTTATTTTTTATTTTCTTTTTAAAAAAATTTTTATGTGTTGGGCTTTGGTGTTTTTTTTTTTTGAAACTTTTTTTATGAATGAAATTTAATGAGAAAAAAATATGTGAAGGACCTTCACCCTAAGATGTTATATTTTTCTTAAAAAATAACTCCAAGTAGGGGTACCACTGAATCTGTTGTACAGAGCCGTACAAACCGAAGTTCTGCCTCTGATATATTTTGTTTGTTTCTTTGAATTTTCATTTTACAGTTACTTTTCCTTGCATACAAATAAGCATATAAAATGGCAACAAACTGCACATGATTTCACAAATATTAAAAAGTCTTTTAAAAAGTATTGCCAAACAATGTTAATTTCTAGTTATTTATTCTGGGAATGTATAGTATTTGCAAAAAGAAATTGGTACCTTGCACACATCATCTGTAAGCTGTTTGGTTTAAAACACTGTAGATAATTAACCAAGGTAGAATGACCTTGTAATGTAACTGCTCTTGGGCAATATTCTCTGTACATATTAGCGACAACAGATTGGATTTTATGTTGACATTTGTTTGGTTATAGTGCAATATATTTTGTATGCAAGCAGTTTCAATAAAGTTTGATCTTCCTCTGCCAAATTGATGTTGATGCAATCCTTACAAATGATTGCTTTTAAAATTTTAAGGTAGGAAAAGAAATCTATAGAAAGTGTTCTGTTACAAAATGTAACTGTTACCTTTGGAAATTTCACATGTCATAGGAAGTTAGCCGTTATCTACCAACTTTCAAGCTCTTAATCTTGTTTAATAAGGTGAAAAATCAACAAAATGGTGCAAAAACACAATGTACCATTACAATATGCACTAAGTCTCTTTTTTACAAAGGCTGAATTCAGCAAGGCGCTAACTTGCTTAAATGTGAATTACTAACTTCTAAAACTGTAATTTGATTCACATGTTTTCAAATGGAGTTGGAGTTGATTCATATGATATTTGTGTGCTAAACGTGTATGTTTTTCAGTTCAAAGTCATGTTTTTAAAATCTTATTAAAGTTTCAAAAATCTGAAGATTGTTTATCTAGATGTAAATTTTTATTAAAAAGTTGCACTTATGAAAACACAAAAAATTAGTCTGACAGATGTTTGCTCCTGGTTTTAAATTTCTGTATGGCAGAAATTATATGTGGGAGGGGGAAGGGAATTATCTTGCAAAGCAAGTGTGTGGTTGCAAATTATCTTTTTCATGCCCTTAAAAGGCCAAAATGAAAATACTTGAAAATTTTCCTCCATACCTTCAGTTATAAAGTTTCAGTACATTAATTGCATAGGCTGCTAATGAAACCGTATTAAGCATATACTCCTATCTGCCCACACACAAGCATACACTGTCATTTGGAAAATATTAAGTGTGTATATAGTTTTTAAAGGAAAAACTTTTACTGTCAACATCTTAGTAGTGAAATTTAGAATGTCTGGGAATTGGCTACTGTGGCACTTAAAGGAACTGTAGCGCACGCAGTCTGCCGCCTTAAAAATGGTATGGGTGGGAGGTGACAGTGTCAGTTCCTTCCATTAGAATCCACAATAACGCAGGACAGTCTTGTTCACATTGATGGCTTTCAGAAAAATGCCTGTTTCTGCTTTTCTATTTTTTCACTCTAATGCTTTTCTGGTTCTCTGTTGTTGATTTTTCCCTAGTGCGGCACAGTCCATCCATCAGTGGTGGTTAGGGAGAAAGAAACTTGGTTGCGTTTTCCTTGTTTCACAGTAGTTTTCAGCATTATACGGTAACAACCTATTGGCAGTAGCTGGCTTAGCACTCAACTTAGCTCACTCGGGCATTTCTGTATCTGATTATGATCTCAGAGCTCCTAGTTGTTAGGGATATAATGCTTCTTACAGTTAATATAGTGGTGTTTTCTGTTATTGACCCAGTTTCTGTTACAGGGCCGTAAATGGTATCTTTCCCTTGTGAACCTCAGATGCCTCTGATAATCAATTATTCTGAAATAGCCATTACCAGTTGCTATTTTGATTATTCAGAAGGCTTACTCGTTGCCAGGATTTAAATGTGGAGCATCTTTTCCTCCATGTGCTTTTCTGGGGCTATTTGAAAAGTTTTCTTTCATTTTCTTTTCCTCAGAACTTTCCACAAAGAATCTGAGGAAATCTTTTTTTTTTTAATATGTTAAGGAGTTTTATTGTCTTGAAAGCCATTGAAAATTTCACTTCCTAAATGATTAAAGACTAAGCTTCAAAATTGAATGCTGAAATGTTTCCTCCCAGTTTCTGTATACCATACACTTGGTTATAGGGGTAGATTGAAAATTGGGGGACTGAGTGTCAACAGAAGTTGGTAACAAGGAATCCTCGTAATTAGAGTTTATTGTCATTATTCAGTATCATACAGAATTTAAATGGCTTATGCTGAGAGGGAAGAAAGAACTGTGTTCAAGTATAAATTTCTTTTGATAAATAGATGTCTAAGTCAGATTTCTGTGGAGATCGGGACCTCTAAGATACTGTTCTTGTATCAAGGAACAGTACTAGTGCTCAAGGAATCTGTCATTGAATTTGCCAGTGCAGCATCAATACTACACAATAGAAAGGTTAGTAGTCAGCTTTCCCAGACAACTCCACCAAAAGTCAGCATCTAACTCAGCCCTGACTTGATCCTCCACATGCAAGTTTGCTGTCAGGCTTGTCCTGTGGAAAGATAGACTCGCCAGGAATACCCTTTCCTGGAAGTACAGCCAGCAGTGTCCTGACGTTAGCATGGGAAGAAAGTATCCATGTGCTTTTTCTTACCCTTTTCTGATAAGTTTGCCTCATTAAAACACTTTTCTTTGTATGGCACTGTGCAGTTTGCCTTAACCCACCACATCTCATATAGTGCCCAACACCATACAGATTCTGCTTCTAGAGTCTTTTGGAAACTATACAAGGGATCAAATGGAGCCATATCTGGGATAGGTGACATCCCTCTTCAACTGGTGGCAGGAAACCTGGCTGAGCTAAAATCACTGCTTATTTCCCAAAGGCCCTGTGAAGTTTACTACATGAAGCAAGGTGAGACAGTTTAATCCTTTGACATTCTCTTAGATCTCTGCCAGCCCTTGTTTGCTCTAAAGGAAAAAAAAGTTGGGAGAAAAAATCTCTTGTTCTCTAAGTGCCATTGGAACAGTTGATGCAACCTAACTTTTAGATTTGAGACTTGTGCAGTATGCCACCAGGGCCTTTGGGGGAAATTGAGTCACAGCTTGTGGGTCTTCAGTATGGTAACAGGGAATCTGACTCTCAGCCGTGGTTGCTGGAGTCTCTCCAGACTTAAATTGCTTATGTGATGAAGCTACATCCATGAAGTAAGTGAAGCTCAATGTTGAGCCTTTAGACTCTAGTGCTGAATTCTTTTTTGCCAAATTAATTAGCTAGGCAGACCAGTAGGAAGCAGCAGATGTGACTTCACTGTTATTGAAATGGATACTCATGGAAATCAGGTTCACAGCCATCCACAGGAGACTTCTTGAGATGCTGAATGCAAGGTGGAGCAACACTATTGAGGTCAGGGCTGCTTTGAGACATCTTGATGTTTCTCATGGTTGGATGAAAATCCTGGGCATCTGGAATAATTGACCAGATGACCTTGGTTCTGAGAATACTAGAAATGTTGACAGGATCTTATACAAGGTCATCCTCAACTTTGCTACAGTGGAAGGGTGAGATAATTCCCCGCTTAGAAAGGGACAGTGAGATAATGGGCCCTGAGAAGGCGATCCACATCTCAGCAAAAAGGAAGAGGCAAGAGAAGAGCACAACTCCGGACTTTTTTCCAAGACTTCCTCAGGCATTTCATTATAGCTGTAGGTCTTGAGCAAAGGTCAGGAGATAGATGGGAGAGACACAGAGGCTGATAGGCTGGTAATCACTCAGGCTCCAGAGAACCTGTGAGTTCAAGAAGCAAACATGGCTGATTTTAGAGCAGGCATTAAGGAGCTGCTGATGGAGATCTGATGCTATTAGGTCCTACATGAGAGGGCTCCCTTTGGAGATGGAGACGATTAACTCCCCTTCCTGGCCATATGAATTTTAGGATTATTTTTCAGTTTCTATGTAGGATATTATCTTGATAGGGATGTCATTGAGTCTATAAATGACCTGATTTTAAAGTAAAGACATAAATAGATGTTTGTCAAAAGACATTCACATGGCAGCAATTACATGAAAACTTTGTCATCACTAAACATCAGGGAAATTCAAATCAAAACCACAGTGAGATAATCACCTCACCCCAATAAGAATGGTGTATTAGCTTTTGTTTTTGCCTAGTACAAGATACCTGACATCCAAAACTTAAAGGAGAGGTTTATTTTGGTTCACCAGTACAGAAGTTTCAGTGCAGGGCTGGCTGGCTGCAGGGCAGAAACATGGTAGAAGGGTTTGGCAGAGGAAAACTGGAACTCATGCCATCCAGGAGGCAGAGCACGGTAAGAGCCAGAGGAAGGAGTTCAGAACCAAGGTCACACCACCGTGACCCACTTCCTCCAACCCTCCACCTCAGCCCCTCCTCATAACCCATTCAGCGTGGAATCACTGCCTTCAAATTATATCACCCCTCAAAGAGTCTCGATGCAATCAAGTTGACAATCAAATCGACTGGCACAAATGAGTATTATCAAAAAGACAAAAGATAATGAATGTTGACCACTGTGGAGAAAAGCCCTTATACAAACTTGATGGGAATGTAAATGCATACAGCTGTTATAGAAAACATTATGTAGAAGTTTCTCAAATAATTAAACATTGAACTATATGATCCAGCTATCCCACTACTGGGTTTATATCCAAAGGAAATGAAATGAGTACATGGAAAAGATAATCTGAACTCCCATATGTATTGTAGCACTACTCACAATAACCAAGAAATGAAGTCAACAAAGCCTGCTGTATCTTTGGAGAAGGGTATAGAGGAGGAATCTTTAAGACAGTCCTCAGTACTTCATATATCAGTAATGGGTTGAACAGGAACATCCATGTGTTAGTGGCATTTTGGTAGTGGGCCTCACAAAGGGAACTGGTCTACTCAACAGTAATGGATGCCCTCTGAGGAGAGAGACCAGAGCCAAGCCACTCAGATGTATATTTGGGAGCTACATACATAAGCAGCAGCTCAAATTGATATTCCACAGCCCAATAAAAAAAAAAAAAAAACTGTGGCACTACCTACAAAAAGGGATACTTATGGCCCACTATGGTACTACTCTGTGGTATTGGGGACAGCACATCCCGCACCTAGTTACGCCATTCTAGCACATGCACTAAGTCACAAATTTGAATGGAGACACCTACAGCAAGAAGCTTCACAACACAAGGTATGACTGAAGACTACTGTGAATATTTAACTTAGTTTTTTTTTTTATCATACTAAAAGACAACATTGCTGCTGGGCGTGGTGACACATTCCTGTAATCTCAGCACTTGGTAGGCAGAGGCGGGAGGATTGCCATGAGTTCCAGGCCAGCCTGGACCTACATAGTGAGTTCAAGGCCAGCATAACCCTGTCTCAAAACAAAAACAAAAGACACATTGCCACTGATCCCCCTCAAAATCCCGCCCTTCACTTTAAACACACTTGTCTCATC